GCCCCTAATGCCGCGGTGCGATTCGAATTCAGGACCCGATTCCTCCGGTGGTCCGTTGGTTGCATTGGCACCAAACTTATAGGTCTCCTGAACTGTGATTGGACGCCTCTCTCAAACAGATTTTGGCTAGTCGTCATTGTCGAAGTTTTGCTTGATTCTATCAACCATGAATCTCCCAAGGTCACCACCGAGACCTTGACGCTTCCTCTTCTCGGCTGCAAGGGTCTAGATCAGAAGGCACCAGTTTATTCATCGCCGTGCGTCGGTAATCCCGCCCAACTTCTTGTCTCTCTGAAAGAGCTAACGCATGCGCACCTTGGGTTAGCTCAGAATATTTTTCAAACCCTTGTCTCTGCAGCTAGTCATCTTGCGATTGCGAGATTTGGTAAGGCGTCAGTTGGATTGGCGATCTCGAAACAACTTATCGGGACACGGCATTCCATCTCAATTCGAATTCCATCCAGTCTACCTAGTGGCCGGAGTGCGTTCGCTACCACCTCACGGGATAACAGCGGCTTCGTTCATGAGCCAGCAGACTTCTTTCCACAGATACACCAATTACCCTCTTCGAGAACTTCGCTGAGAACCTCGGCTAAAAATATCCCGCACGTGCTCCTTCGTCTCACCAATAGCTTAGAAATGTCTTCGTTCTTGGGCACGGATGTATTATTCATGTTGGCATCAAAATATAACTGCCGTCATGATATCATGATCATGATTGAAGAAGCATATATTTCACACAAAATCAATTGCTTCGATGCTAAAAGCTTTCTTGGCTCGATGCGCTTGCTACTATCCCTGCTCGAACAGCTGGCAGCGCATGATTTGGGTCTTGTAACGATACCGTGCCTGAGTGATATCACATTATCCCAAATCGCGTCTCAGCTACAATGCTACGGGTATCTCTTCGAGGCTCAGCAGGCTTACTTCGATGTGATTAAGAGCAGCGTGCACCTCCTTAGTTCCGAAGAGTCTGCATCGAAGCCCAATGTTAATCACCCCCTCGCATTCGCTCTCGAGTTTTGTGAAAATGAGTGGACGAGATGTGCTCGTGAGTTATCACAGTGGAAAGTTCTTAGCAATATGCCATTTCCCCCCATGTCAGATTTGATGTGGCCATCCTCGAGTCAGCGGCGCTCCCTAGCTTGTGAATCTGCATGGAAATCTCAATCCTGGGATTTTTTCAAGTTGGATGTTGACAACAAAAGAAAACTCCTTGATGATTTGGGTGCATCATCACCGCAAGACAAGCTACAAACAATTAGAGTAGCAGTGGCTGATCGCCGCTTTGATGAAGTTGAGGAACTCTGTGCGACGTGCATTGAGATTTCATTGCAAGCGTGGTGTGCGCTACCCCCCCCTCAACCTGAATCTCATTATCCACTTCTGCAACTATTTCACGAACTAATAGAGGTTCATGAAAGTGGTCAGCTGTTACACGAAGCCGTGGAGCACTCCAGAAGTCGCACATTCCCCGATTTGCGAGCGATGGTGTACACGTGGCGCAATCGACTTCCAAATGAATGGGAAACCATGTCATCCTGGGACAACATTATGCGGTGGCGCGAATTCTGCTTTGCATTTGTACGAGGAGAATTCATCTCTTGGTGCTCACCAGAGCGCGTCTTACTTCTTCATGACTCACCCTGGACAGCATCTGTAACTGTTAAAATGGCACGAAAAAATAGGCTTGCAATATCAACCGCATTTCCGGAGTCAAACGAGGCTTGTGCTCTTGCCATTAGAATGGATGTTGACGATGCGTTTGGTAAGTTGAGAGAACAAATACTAACCTGTCACGCTTCGATGGTTTCTAATCTGGTTCATGCCAAACGCGGATTGCACCTTATCTTGAACACGAGCATGGACTATTTTTACTTTGAGCAACGTGCGGAGCTTCATCGTTTGAAGGGGGATTTCTTTTGTAACTTGGGCCAATTTAATGATGCGCATGTCTCCTTTTCCGCTGCCACAGTAATATGTTCTTCATACGGGCGGGCATGGTTTGCTTGGGCTGCTCTGTGTGAGTCACAGTATGCCCGTCTAGTTGTAATGTGTGACAACGCTAGGCGCCATGTATCCCTGCTCAAGTACTCGATCAAATGCTACCTTGCTGCAGTAGAGCACGGTCATCAACTTGCATGCATAGGGGGGATTGCAAGGGTGCTGTGTCTTGTTCGTTTCAACCAGGAATATGAAGACCTCGCCAGCACTTTGCGAGACAGGCTCGATGAGTTGCCATCCTGGATTTGGGTTCCATGGATATATTATCTACTGTCCGGTCTTCTAGAACGCGAGAAGGCAACAGTTTGTGCGTGTTTAATCCGAGTGGCTGTTGCGTATCCACAGGCTTTGTATCACGTGCTTCATGCTGAAGCTCTATACTCAAAGTTCGTGCCAGGCTCCCTCCGCACGTCCCTCACGCTTATTGAGTCTCATATGCGCTGTGTGCATGTGTCGCTGTCCTTTGAAATGGATGTACTTTGCGACGAATTGGTAGCCTGTTTCCAACCTCGGCAAACTGAAAAGCACCTCTCTCTAATAAACAGCTGTTTGTCCAGCTGCTGCGATAGCATGGAAAACCTAAACAAGCCGATGCCGGCGACGTTCTGTGACAAACTGCGCTCCGCTTCTTCTATGCAACTAAGAGACACGTGTGCTCTTCATGCAAACTATTGTTCTGTATTTGCACGGGACTTTAATATCGCACCAGGCAGTGTGGTGACACTTCGTACCATCATATGTCGATTGGTACGCTGGAAGATCGCTCTTAAAAAAGAGCCACGATGTTATCCTTTTGTCCTAGTCCCACACATGCTAGTGCAGATCGCGCGACAGTACTCGACTAGTAACGTGTCTTGCAATTTGGAAGTCCCAGGACAGTATGCATGCCTCTTCACCGAACCTAGGCCTGAACTGCACTCGTCACTTACAATGTTCGGCCCATATACAGATGCAAACCAGAATTATAGTTCGGTAGAAAAACGCATCGAATTTGCAACAGCTGAAGGAAACCGACAGACTTTTCTAGCCTCAGCTAGCCAGAGAACACAGGTCCGGGTCCACGAAAGCGCAACGCACTTCTTTGCCATTGTTGATCATGCACTTTCTCATTCTTTGACTGCACAACGACGGCGCTTGAGAATAGAACCATGGCTCGTATTTCCAGCTGGCCCATGCTTGAGCCTGAGAAATGGTCCAAGATCTTTGGTGACTCTCCCTGACATCGAAAACTTGAGATCAAGCTGTCTGAATATTGATGCTGACGGACCGCTGCTGTGCACGCGCCAGCACTTGGCTCACATCAAAGCATGTCAAGGTGGCGAAACGAATCCGTCCACCGCCGAAGACCCCTCAATTGCTCATTTAAGAGCCTACTATGAAGTTTGCAGTACTTTGAGAGGGGCCACGGACGTAATGTCACGCTACATTTGCGCCAGCGCCGACACTGCAGAATCATTTTGGGCATTTCGTCTTTCTTTCGCAAAGAAATTAGGTGCACAGTCACTAGTTCGGACGCTTCTCGGCCTTGGGGGCATACACGCCGATGGCGTCAAGGTCTGCTCACAGACAGCTTGCGTCTCAACCGACAAGTTTCGTTTTTCCTCGCAAAATGTCGATATGGAGATCGGCCTAAAAGCGCCGTTTGGTCTGGCGCGAAATTTATTGCGTTGATACAGCCGATGGTTTTTGACGGTGCATTCACTCTAGCGTTTGGTCTGACTACTCTCGCGTTGGAACTATCCGCAGCCGAAGTTGGAGGAGTCATTCACCCCCATTGGTGCATGTTTTTTCAA